GTTAGGTGTCGTTGTGTTGGTTTGATACAAAGTGTCCCTATGTATAACAGAACAAAACACTATATAATCCTAATAATTTTTGCTAACTTTGAGATATATGTTCTAGCCATTGTGTCAGTCCATCTCAATGAGGGTCTTCATATTTTTTTTGCTGACCCTCTACCAAGCGTGATGTCTTTGTAGGGACTGGGCTCTACTTACCATCTGTCCAAATTACATGAGATGGAGTCTTTCTCTCCTCATTTCTAAAGCGCATTCTGGTTGTACTTCTTCTAAGACTTTCACTACAGACATTCAAGTCCCTTTTGATTCTTTGTTCCTTACTAAATGCAGATGAGTTTGCTAGAACAATTTCTGGCAGGGAAGAAATAGAAGTGCCAGTATAATAAAGAACACACGTACCTGCTTCTTTTTCTATAAAGAAACCAATATCGAAAATGTAGGTCTGCATTACGTGTGGTTCCATATGAAGAATTGAAAGTCACATCATCTTACTACTTCTAATTAGTGCAAGTTCTAAGGGAAGAGTGGTTGGGAGTGGATCTTTGTCTGATTCTTTTAATGGGAGCAGGTAAAAATCAATTAAGATAGCCCAGATGACGGATATTTTGTCACCTGCTATGTTCCTTAGACTTTTGAATTTCAGAATTAGAGGGAAAACCAAACCTGTATCCAAATATTACATTGAACACAGCATTGGCAATTTATTTAATAGTGAATATTACTGCTTAATATTTAAGGAATAATGTAATGAAGAGATCACAGTCTTTGAAGTCAGATAAACTGAGTTTGACTCTAAGTCCAAGTATGTGGCCTTAAGCAAGTCTCCTAAATTACCAGCTTTCCAGTTTAGTAAATGGAGTCATTAGTATTTTTGAGAGAACATAGGGAAGATAAACCTAAACTCGGTACTCAACTTATTCTCTTGTGTTGTTATTTGCTGCTGAGTTGATTTCAAGTCATGACAACCCTATGTGTTATAGAGTAGAATCGTGCCAGTGGGTTTTCTTGGCTGTAATCTTAATAGAAGCAGATTCCCTGGCCTGCATTCTGCACCAAAGCTGGGTGGGCTCAAACCATCAACTATTTGTGCCACCCAGGGACCTCTCAAACTTACTGTAGACACACAAGCTGATTTGTGCTAATTATTATTTTTAAATAGATAGTGGAAAATTTTTAAGCAAAAGAAAGGCATCTTAAGTGATGCCAACAGCACTTTATTCTGCATTTCGAAATAAAATTCTTTCCAAACAATATAATTCAAACCTTTGAAAATCTTCACTTTCATTCTAATATAATAAAGACTGTGTAGTCTATACTATCATTTCAGGACCAAATAGCATTGTATTTAAGGTGTTCAAGACCTGAAGTGCTTACCCTCATTAGCTCATTCATCTGATTTCATCTAACAGGGAACAGTTCACAGAAGTTCAAAGTCCTGATAGAGATAATTGAATTTCATGCAACTTCAGTTCTAACCAGTTCCAGCTCCAAGTTTAAGGAAAGGGAGAGAGCAGTGCCAACAAATTCTATAAACGATCAACATCTGAAACAGATTCAAATCAGAACCAAGGCTGACTATAGACAGGAAGAAAATAAAGTGTAGTATCTCCCTGCCAGAAGATTAAAAATACAGTGGGAAATATAGCAGGCAGGTTGAATACAGGTTCCAACACTTTGATGCTGATCCATATTCTCTGACCACATGCTAGCCAAATAAAGGGAGGTAAGAGAAGATATGAAGTCCAGTCTAGCAGTTCTTCCATTGTTTCCCTGGTCTCTCTATTTGAGGCCATCTGGAGTCCTGGTGTGGCACTGTGGGTTAATGCGCCAGACTGCAAAGCTGTTTGAACTACATGGTTGGCAGTTCAAGCTCACAAGCTGCTCCTTGGAAACCCTATACAGGGTTGCTATAGGTTGGAGCCAACTCGACAGCACTTAACAACAATAGCAATAATATGATCGGAGTCCTGGTGTGGCACTGTGGGTTAATGCACTTGACTGCAAAGTCTCTCTGAACCTCAAGGTTAGTGGTTCAAGCTTACCAGCTGCTCCTCGGAAACTCTATACAGGGTGGCTATGGGTCGGAATCTACTTGACAGCACTCAAAAATAACAAATAGTATTATCTGCATGAGGAGATGACTATGTCTATTTCATTTCACCTTGTTTGTGCTGGTACCCAAATGGGTACCAGTGCAAAGGGTGGAAAACTCATGCAGGTTCTTTCTACTGTATTTATCCATCTTCATCATTTGATTGAAAAGTGACTCTTTGTTAGAAAATAAACAGTTCCAAGAAAACCGTGTTCATATTTAAAGAAAAGAAAAAAAAAAAAAACCAAAACCACCTTCTGTTTGCTGTGGTTCCTTTTGTTATGTTCTTTTTTAACATGATGGTACGTTGTTACGGCAACTACAGACAACTAAGAGCAACCTAATTCTTTTTATAAATATTAACCATACTGAATCAAGGCTATCTGTTCAATCAAGTCTCTAGACTCTTAGAGGCAAGTGGAAATAATTACAAAAGGATCTTAAATAGTAATTCTTAGCATATTTTTGAGCGGTTTGTATATTGACCATGATAAAGCCTTTCTATAAACTATTTTATTCCACTTTTGTAAACTGAATTCAGCAATTTTGAAATGAATGTTATTATTATTCCGTGCCAGCAAGTTGGCTCTGAATAATACTTGTGTGACCTTCTGTGTAACAACAGGAAACATCTCCTGGTCCTATGCCATTCTCACGATAGCTGTTATGTTTGAGCCCATTGTTGTCGTCACTATGTTTGTTCATCTCATTGAGGGTCTCCCTTTTTTCCACTGGACCTCTTTGCAAATTATGACAATATGATATCATAGGTGGAGACTTATACATGTTAATCTCCTTAATGTTTTTATCATATAAGACGTTTTTCTTCATTATATAAATATACACATAATCTTAATACAGAGGTACCATATTTTTTCACAAGTAGCCCATACCTTCTATGACAACTGCTCCCTCCTCATGGGAAGTATTTCCTAAACACCACTATGCCACCTTTTTATACATGGGGTTGTAAAAAAAAAATTAGCTTAGTGTTTACAAAAATATCTCCCAGAGGGAGAGTATGGTTGACAAACACGTATAGTAGGTACAAGTTATTTGTGTAAAACTGCAGTAATACTTATATAATGCAGGAAATTCTACAAACATCAAGACTTGGTTTAACCATTGATATATCTAATCTTATTGTCCCTCTTGCATAAATTCAGTTATTCACTCAATGAATATGTAAATCAGTGCCTGCACTGTGAAAGGCACTGCATTAGGCATTGGGAATATACATTTGTGAAGATGTAATTTATCATTTTAGAGACTATTTTCTAATGGTGGAAATGAAAATGAATGGTATATATATATGTGTGTGTGTGTGTGTCTGTATTTTTAGGTTATGTTAAATGCAGTGATCATGGAAGGCACCTTTGAGAAATTAACACTTGGAGTTTTGCTCAACTGAAATTAGATATCACAAGGGGCTGGAATGGGTGAAGACAGTCCTAGGTAAACAGCACAGCTTGGTTTCAACTCATAGCAACCCTATATAAGGATATCCCAGAAGTGGCTGGTGGATTTAAAATGCCAATCTTTCACTAATCAGTACAGTACTTATTCTATGGTGCCATGCCAGGACTCCATATTGCATTATGCTGCTGTTGTTCAGTGCTGTTGAGTTGGTTCTGACTAATTGTGACCCTGTATAGGGTTTCCGAGGAGTACCTGGTGGGTTTGAACTGCTGACCTGTGGTTCTCAGGCCAGTGCTGACCCTACAGCGCCATACCAGGAGTCCAGGATGATAGTCTGCATTAAAATTTTCCTATCATCATTTTTCTAAAGCATAGTTTTCATTGCATTTCATTATGCCATTTTATGAAGTTATCATTTCTAATTTACTTAATGAATCACTTTTTATTGGATATTTTAGGAGTAGGGTTAGAAATAATGGCACAGTCATTCTTGGATTCTTGGGATCCTGGTGTGACATTGCAGGATAAACACTGAACTGCTGACTGCAAGGTCAGTGGTTCAAACATATCAGTCATTCATTAGGAGCACTATACAGTGTCAGTAAAAGTCAGAACCGACTCAATGGCACTGAACAACAGCAACAACATTCTTGTGCATAGGACCCTTATAGTTTTTGAGATTATCTCTTTAGGAAATTTTTTAATTTTTAGAAATAGATCTAGTCTATTATATATACATTATCACATTGTTTTTGGTTAAAACATATTGTTAGATTGCATTCCAAAAACAATGTGCCGGTCAACAGTTTCACCAATGGTGCATGAGAAAATCAGTTTCTCTATACTCTCATTAACTATGATTATGATGATTCCTTTTACTCCAAAAAAATATGATAGATCAAGAAGCAAAATGAATTTAATTGTTTTTATTTGCATACCTTTGTTTTCTAGTGAAATTCAACACTATAAAACTATTTTGAACTAAGTAATAACATATTAGTTGGTGAGTTTTTCAGACTTTGAGTTACATTAAACTAGTCTTGGTGTGGCAGTGTAGGCTAATGTGCTGGACTTCAAAGTCAGTTTGAACCACAAGGTTGCTTGTTCAAGCTCACCATCTGCTCCTTGGAAACCCTATACAGGGTTGTCATGGGTTGGAATCAACTCTATGGCACTTAACAACACAACAGTTATGAACAGTAGGAGAAGAATCTCGGACTCATCTTTTACGTTATTTTTGACATGGTATAAAACTCTAGGCCCTTTATTGGTGCTGTGGTTATACACATACACACAAAATAGAATTTTTAGTAGTTGATTCCATACAATCTATATATAAGTTTTAACAACAAGAAAACTTTCAGGAAAGTCAGTTAAAAATGAAGAAGATGTTCTCTACTTCTTCCAAATGTTGCTGACACTACTTGTATGAATATTTTCTTTAACTGATCTCCTCCCCCCCCCCTTTTTTTTTTTTTTCCTTAAGGAAAAACTGGGCTACTTCCTGGATTGTTCTTTCTAGTCAAAAAATTGAATTCTACAAAGAATCCAAGCAACAGGCTTCGTCCAATATGGTAGGTAGTTCTCTGTCTATACTGCTATCATCTTTTCAGAAGTGTTGTTGACTAAAAGTTTGGTTTCATCAAAAATCACTCTAAGTTCTCCAGGCTTCCAACTCTGAAAGCAAATGGAGAAAATGACTCAATAAACTTTTAATCAGATAACAGGAAATAGAAGTTAGTGTCTGTTTTATTAAGTGGTGCATTTGGAGAATTATCACAAAATGAGATGAATGGTGAGCAGCTATCTAGTAATGGGAAGGTAACACTTTAAAATTAAGGTGCCATTTATAAATGCTTTATCCTTATTTATGAAATGATCACTAAATGCAGCAACTTGTTCAAATAATGCATTATAAAGTATGTTATAAAATGCATTAGTAATAAATGCATAAAGGATGATGCTATGGGAAGCTGTTTCAAGGAATATTATGAGACGTAAATCGTATTAAACCATGTATGTACATCTTTAATACATGAATTTAAGTTGTTATCGAGCATTCTATAAAGTGCTCCACACATTAATAAATAATAATAAACTGTTCATAAATGGCACCTTAATATGGGGTGTTACCAATGAGAAAATGCTCTAAGTTAACAAAGTGATTTTTTATCTTAGTCTAACGGTGGCATTAACTATATTCAGCTAACCTTTTTGAATATTCCTCATGACTCCATCTAATGGAGCTAATACAATTTCTGTGTCTTATAGTTATTACAAAGTGAAATTTGTAGGGTTGCTTCATTGTACCTGGAGGAGGCCCTCTCATGTGCCTACAGAGATTTGATAGGATAGTGAGGAGTCATTTGAGCTAGTTTGTGTACCTTGCTACACAAACACCAGAGCTGCCACACAATGTAGGAGAGAGTGGCCAGGCAGCATGTCTGACAACCTTCTGATCAGGAAGAGCTTGGGACAGCAGCCGACCTGCCATACTCTATCATCCTGATGGGTGACAGGAAAACGGGTTCCTGGCAGGAGTTAACTACAATGAACTAATTTGTACTGGGCAGGTAATAAAATGTTGGAGAATTCTTTGCTCTCCAGCCACTAGTTTTGTTTGCTATATAATCCTCTTTAACTAGGAAATAGAAAATTTGTTAGAAGATTTTTTTTTTTTTTTAAACGCAGATGATTTGAGTAAGAACAAAGGTAGCATTTGGCTTACTCCTGATAATTGTACTAGCCTTTATCCCTAAGTGGCTTGCTGATTTTGGAGTCTTGGTGTGGTCCAATCTGTAAACTAATTATGAATAAATTTATATATATCCATCTTTTGTATTTTTTTATTTAAACCACCTCAGAAATTTGTTTTAGGGTTTTGCTTTGTTTTTATTTTTTGGCTACAGTAAGGTTGAGATAATCATTTTAAGAAAAATAAAGTACCCCTAAGGGCAAGACACAAAACAACTCCAATCTTTTGATGGGCCCTTGTCTTCACTTAGAATGAGTTCTAAGGGGGAAAGCTGGGAAGTGGAGGAAAATCACTTGTGTGGCTGAGTTTTGCTGCTGAGAAGATGATCTTCATCCTGCTGAGTGAGAAGAATTCCATCATAGCAGAGTTTATGTAAATGTGCAGGGATAATGGGAGAGATTAGAATCCAAATTAAAGAATTTGGTTTATTTTTATTTTATTATTTTAATCTCTTCATACTAGGAGATGTAATTATCAGCTGCTTAATTTTACCCAGGTGAAAGAAAACTCCATTTCCTTTACTGGAAGGCAAACTTTGCACGTGTGCTCAATCATTGCATGCATCCTGGTCAACCTTAGAAATCGTTGAAAACTGACAGTAGCTTGTACTTTTAGAAGAAACTGGCTAGCATTTATTGGCAGTTCCTACTTATTACTTCTGGCCCTGCTTTCAACGGTCTTATGCTTTCTCCCAGACACTCACTGTCTTTAAAGTGAACGCAGGACAAACTAACTGTATTTTGTGGTACTGGGGAAGAGAATTACAGATTCATGTTTGTACTGCATGAATTGGCTTGCTAGTCATCTTCTTGGATTCATTTCTAACCAAGTATTAAAGGTCTAGTGGGATAGCCCACATTTACCAATTCCAGTCTCAGAGAAATGATACAATGATTGCCAGGACTTGATTAAAGATGCTGTGGTTTTGTTTTGAAAGAGATTTATGCTCAAGTTTCTGCATTTCCCTTGCACCCACATACACATGTCCTGTTGTTGTTCATTGTGCTTCTGGGAAAATGTCTGTCCTTTCCTCTACTGGGTCAGTAGAAAAGGCTTGAGTGAATGCAGAATGTGGTTTGAAAGAATAAATGGCATTTTAATCTTTATACAAATGATCTTTGAATGTTAATGCTTCAGATAAAGTAGCTAAGAACAGGGCTTTGAAGTCTGACCACGGGAAACTTAATTCCAGTTCTTCTAGCCTTTTTTGAGTTCAAGAATCCTCATCTGCAAAATGGGGTCTCTGCCAACAAAATTATAAGAATTGAAATTAGTTAATTAAGACAAAAACACTTAATCATCATAAAATTATTAGAATATTCCATTGTAATAGGCTTTATATTAAAATATAGAGAGCATACATTCCATAGTACATAATCTAGTTTTTGTTGTTGTTAAGTACATAATCTAGTAGTACTATAATATAATGCTTGAATTTATACAGACTTTTGTAGAAGAGCAAAACAAAGATGAAATCCACTGCCACTGAGTTACCTTTGATTCACAGTGACCCGAGAGTAGAACAGCTCCTTAAGGATTTTCAAGAAAATAGTAATTCAACAAACACCACCACACATTGCCTACAAAACATTAACGGTGTGTCAATTGGCAGCATACAGTATTATGCACAGAATACAGGAAATAAAGCCATCCATCCATTTGGGATTAAGGAGCTCTGGTAGTATAGTGGTTACGAATTGGGCTGCGGACCGCAAGGTCAGCAGTTTGAAACTACCAGCTGTTCTGCGGGAGAAAGATGAGGCTTTCTGCTCCCGTAAAGATTTATAGCTTCAGAAACCCTGTGGAGGGTCGTTATGGGTCAGAACTGACTCCACGGCACATAACAAAACAACAACCATCCATTTAGGATTAGATATGAAATCTATTATATATCCATATGTATTTTCCTGGAGTGTGCTTCTTCCTCCATCAACTAATATTCTAACCATTTCCACATAAAATCTAGCATCTAACAAAATGCTGTGTTTCATCCTACATTCCATGATTGGCTTCATTTCTTTCTCACTTCAGATCAGACAAGACATATATATATATATAAAGTTTTTATTGTGAATTGAGTGATAGTTTACATGGGAGAACATCAGCTTTACATTCATCCTATCCTATTTTGTTTCATTGAAATGATTACGGTCCCCTTCATGTATCATCAAACAACCAAAGGATACACCCCACAAGCCTGCTCCTGCTCCCCAGCCATCAGCACACAGCCCCACTGCCTCCCTGAGTCCAGAGTCTCCAGTCGCTCCATCTCTCCACGTCGTCATCTCTGCCTCCATCTCTGGTGTCACTGCTTCTCTGGATAGGGTCCCACAGTCCACTCTTCTCCCTTGATGGTCCCAGAGATCTCTGCTCCTGGACTGCAAAATTAACCACTCCCTTTGTTTTGTTACAAAATGTCTACCTTTGCATTTGCAACTCTCACAGTCAGTCCTGATAGCAATTATCAGGTTGACAGGAGTCTATTGAACATGGTCGGACTTAGCTTTCAACTTCATTGCTGTTTTTCCACCACTTTCCCTTATCAGTAGACAATGTGGTTGCCACCAAGACCACATGCCTGCTCATGTATTCCCCTTGAGTCTCAGTCTTGGAAGGGGGTTTGCTCTGAGGGAACCTGACCACTTGCCTTGATGGCTCCCCAGCATACAACTTGCTTGTTCTTGTAGTAGTCAATCAGATTGCCATTATTGTTTTTGAATTTTTCTGCTGGTCTTTCTTTCAAGAAGTATCTTCTGTTCTTCTAGCCACTCCATGCTGGTCTGCTTGTCCTTTCAAGTGGAACTTTCCCACCTCAGAAGATTCTGGATGGGGATCAGGATTCTCCCTATGGTCTTATGCAATGCAAAGGCTCCTCAGGAAGCCTCCTTCCCTGGGCAAGTTCTAGCCCCATTTTAGGTATTCCAATCAGTTATAGGCTGAAGACAGACTTACAAACTTTCTATGGTAATGTTTCTGGCTATTCCTTTATCTCCCCCTCAAGTGTCAATTTTATAATGGTATGCCAGGGAAACCAAGATTCAAAAGACAGCCAAGCATCTTAACATTATTTCCCCTCTTGTACCCATTCAAACCATGCCTCAATCCCTGTATCCCAGAGCCCTTGTTGTTCCATGGTTGAGGCTAGACAAGGTATATTTTTTATCAAAAGCAAATTTAGCCTGAAAATAGACATTTGTTGTTGCTGTTATTATGTGAGTTCATAGAATCACTTTATTTGTATAGATTAGAAGTTCATAGTCTTTGGGACCTCAGTGACCTCCTGAAGGAAAAGGACTCTAATAGGGTTTCCAAGATCATATTTTTCTTAATGTTGTTGTTAAGTCAGTTTCAACTCATAGCAGCCCTGCATTCAGTTTGTGAGGAGCAGCTGGTGAGTTTGAACTGCTGACCTTGCAGTTCAAACCAGCTTTGCAGTCCAGTGGCTACCTTACAACACCACACCAGGACTCCAAAGGATAGGATAATGTTCATATATTCTTTTTTAAATATATTCTCAGATTTATAGCACATTTAATTTTTTAAAAATAGATTTTTTTTGTAAAATAGTGTAGAAAAAACTTTTTTTAAGATATAAAAAATATGCATGTATAGTTTAACAGTTATTCTTCAACTACGTATAACCAAGCATCTAGTCCTTTTCATTGCAACCTGTTTCCTTGATTTAGACTTAACCACTAAAATGTATTTTAGTCATGATTTTATCACCTTTTATTGTTATAAATATTTGCTTATGTTTACAACCCTAGTGTAGTAGGTTAAGTGTTCAACTGCTAGATGCAAATTTAGTGGTTCTGGCCC